TGAGTGAATGCCTAAATGGCTCAATCATCTGCGACTCGAGGCAGGTCTAACCGTTCCATTTGGAGCCTTGACACAAACTCCCTAAGCAAGTCGTTATCTCTTTGTTTAACTTGAAAAGGTCCGATTTTCTGGTCTCGACCTTGATGGCCCTGGCATGAGCCTTCACAAAAGCATCTGCAAGCATAGCAAACGAGTCAATGGAATTTTTGGGTAAGTTGTGATACCATATCATTGCTCTTTTTGATAGAGTCTCCCCTCACTTCTTTAGTAACACTGACTCAATTTCATCATCCTCCAAGTCGTTTCCTTTGACGGTGCATGTGTAGGAGGTCACATGCTCATTCGGATCCGTGGTTCCGTTATATTTTGGAATATCGGGCATATGAAACCTTTTCGGGACCGTCTTTGGTGCCGCGCTCGAAGGGAAAGGCTTTTGGACAAATTTCTTGGAATCCGGTCCTTTTAATATCAAGGGTGCTCCCGGAATTTGATCTACCCTGGAATTATATGTCTCCACCTGCATGTCGTTGGCCTCAATTTTCTTCTCACCTAATTCTACTCGCTTCATCAATGCTTCAAGCATTTTCATTATCTCGGGGTTGACCCTGGGCTCAGCTTCACCCGACCTCTCTGTGGTTTGCTCGTTTCTTCGAGTTTTCTCCTGGGACCGTTCGGGCTCGCCCATGCCAGGGGAGTGGCCTTGATTGTGTAGCTGTGCTATCGCCGCCTGTTGAGCCTGCAACATTTCAAAGATTAGCCGCAGGCTCACCCCATCACCTTCGCCCTCGGTCGTTTCTCGAACTGTTGGCCGAGGACCTCCACGAACGATTTTTAGGGGTCAGTTGGCAGGTTGACGTCGATAGAAACCTGTGAATTGGGGTCGATCGGATCGGCAACCAGGAATACGTTGGGATCAGCAGGGGGCACCTCATTGCTAGACACCAGATTGTTGTTTTCGCCATGATGGCCAAACTTAGCCTCAACGTTCAAGTGGGCAGACTGAGAATTTGACATTTTTAAGCTGACCTAAAATTGAGACTTTAAAGAACAAGCGTAAAATAGAGTGTGTTATGGAGATTTGTATCAAATCATCACTATTATCCTTAGCCCCACGATGGGTGCCAAACTGTTTACCCTTAAAACGGATAACAATTAAATTTGTATGCGGTTTTAAATATATGCGGATTGATTCAACACAAATAAATAAAGATAATAGATAAACGAGTGAAAGATAAAATGAATAATCAAATCAATTGTAATGTTATGGCCCAGCCTGAGCTTAGGTTAGGCAATAATTTATGCTCTCGGTTGGGTCCTTTGTTCAAATCCAATTAAGTGTGAAGAACAACAGTAAAATAAGAACTCTCCAATAGCTAGAAAGCGTAAAAATGAATTTGTATTCTCTTGATATGTGTGTTACAATGTCCTTTATCATAGAAAAGCTTCCCCTTTATATAGTAGGAGAGTTTCATTCCTAGTACAAGTCTAAAAAAAGGTAAAAATCTTCGTTTCTCATTTATTAACGATTCGTAACCGTTATCGAGCGAGATCCGCGTCGTGATATCCGGTTGGTTGCGGATATCACGGCCTTCTATCGGTCATGCACAACTGCTCATGGTTTTTTCCGAAGTCTCAGAACCCATCCCGAATCCGGGGTACGTCGTTTCATCAGGTCCGATGGCAAGCACTTTGTCTACTTTTTATAGGTCTCGATACAAAGAGTTCCCGGCTTCAATGTCGACCCCGTATATTTATGCCCTTACTTCGCTTCGTTCACCGAAAAATCGGGATGTGCGTCATCCTCGATTTCACCGTATACAATGATGTTAGTATCCTAGAATTAGAACTCATGTGACACTGTTATTGTAATGCGTTTTCAATAAATTCGTGGGCAATGTAATTGAAAATTTCTGAGGCTGAGAATATAGGTAGTGTGCCCTTGGAGACTAGGCAGCTGTCTGAATTTAGGATGTTGTGGTCCTTTTTTTCATCGCATCGTTATCATAGAAGCAAACAAATTTGTGGGAATGCATAACACTAATGTTGATTTGGGAAATCATATGGATTTAATTTGGAGCTTCCTCTTTAGGAATGTGACATCTTTGTAAAGGTTTTATTATTATTATTTCAGTTTCTCTTTCATTGTTATGGTGAGGAAGAATGAATTTTCTCACCAAATCCGTTACACTTTTAAAATCTTGGTTCAATATTTACTATTTATTTGAGAATTAAGGACTCAAATTTGTTTGAGACTCAGAGGAAGAAATCATAGTATCATAGCGAACGATATTGAAAATGGGTCGTTTGAACTTGGCCCATGGGCAAACCGTCAGGTTCAAAAGTCAAAGAGTTTTGCCCATGAGACAAAATAAATTAAACTTAAAATTACCCATGAAGCAATAGCAGGGTCAAAAGATTAAGATGGCCACCATTCCTGTAATTCCCGTTGACAGTGGCGGAGCCGCCTTATCCCAAGATGTGTCTTGACACCCGTTCGTCCAAAATATTGCATTTTGTAGTTAGGTAATATTAAATTCCATTCATCTCTTTGTATATTTTTTTATTATTATTTTAACACTCCTTAGTAAAAAATTTATCGCTGCTCATTCACCTTAGTTATCGTATGAGGCTATGACTTTGCCACCACACGCCCCGCTTCTCCTCTGGCTACAATTACAGACATAGCATTTACAGATAAACATTTAATATACAGAAAAGCACTTGTGATTATGCGTTTAAAGCATGAAAAAATTCGTTGACTCATCATAATTCATATGCATATGCATTCCTTCATAGTTTCATGATTAATGGGCTTAATAAATTATGAATTAGAACGAAAGTTTAACCAATTGATTTAATGGAGCTGCCGGGGGAAGTGCCTATCTATATCTGGACCCACAAGCCATAAAATCTTGTCACAGACAAATAAGATGGTTATACGATCGAAATCTAAACTTAGAATCCTCCACCAGCCAAGTGTAGCTTCCATTAACATGAAACCAATTGGTCCCATTTTGTGATTATTAAGGCTTAGAATAACTACAAGTATTGTGTTATCCGTTTGAATGAAATACCTTTGCTGTCAAATTTAAGACCCTAATTGACCCGTGACTTATTTTTAGAGCTTTTAATGTTCTAGAGTTATTGTCAGTTAGTCAAATCTCAAGACTTTTACTAATAGTGTCTTTTCTAAGGAACATATATTATGTGATATATTAATTTGTTGTCTGTGATTTCATGAAGATTCAATTTCGTACAAGAAATAACTAGTTCTGAATAATTTTTGCATATCCATATTTAAAACACGAATTATATGACTATGACAGAGCATAAGATGATACTATATATTCTCACTTTGCATATTTGAAAGATCCTATCATAAATTAGTGGCCTTCCATACAGTGTTCCATAAAGATTGTCTAATCAATCGCTACCATATAATGACGTGGCGCATGCATGATTTGCCATCTCTCTTGTGGAAACTCAAATGCAACACGTTAGTTTTTTCTATCTATAGCTTCCTTTTTTCCATTGGAAACATTATAACAACACGCATGCAGTAGGAGGCAAACAATTTACCAATCACATATTAATATTAATAAGATAAATTTCACAAATAATTATATAACTATTACTTTTTTTTTTTTACGAAAGTCATATAACTTTATTTTCTCACATAAAAATTATAAAACTAATTTCACTAACTCACACAAAAATTATAATAACCGAAAAAATATAATTTTCCGGTAGTATTTTTTATTCCAGGTTTGTTATTTTTTATTTTCTGTCTAATATGTAATAACCCAATTAAAATAGAAAATATATATTTTTAGCCGCTCTAAAAAATAATAGCCGATAAAATATGTGTGTCTATCTCTCTGTGTGTGTATAATATACATATTCTATATATTTTTGGCTAGCAAATGCATTAATTTCAGTCGATCGGTTAATTATATATTGTTTCCTTAAAATGAGAATGACCTAATCCAGCCTGACCCAATACCCGTTTACATAAATTAAATTAATACTAAAAGTGAATCTTTCCCTCACAAAAAACTTAGTTTGGAATACGTGAGATTTTGACAAAAATAAAAAGAAATAAAAGGTATAATTAGAGAGCGCTTTAAACAAAAATATTATCAATCTGAATGAATATATTGAAAAGAAAACTAAAAGATAGAAGTATGTGTTTTGATAGATTCGATTTTAGTTTTATTTTAATTTATATATACATCTATTAGGTCAGGGGGTCGGGTCAGGTTGGGTCATTTCTATTCTAATTGAATTATTATTTATTGTGCTAAAAATAAAAAAAATAAAAAAATAAAAAAAACCATGAAATAAGAAAATAATACTGAAAAGTTATATTTTTCGGTCCCTATAATTTTTGTGTGAGTTAGTAAAAGTTTATAATTTTTGTGTAAAAAAATATAGTTATGTGATTTTGTAAAAAAAAGTCATAATTATATAACCATTTGTAAAATTTACATATTAATATACACAAGATTTATGAGGTTCCATAGATATGCTAATTATATTATCAGGCAAGACCCGAGAAAATTCCGCTATGATAAAAGACGATACATACAATTTTCGTGATTCATAAAACCAATCTGAAACCCTACACGAGATCAAATTACAACATTTATGTGAGTACATACTGTAGAAATAGGGAGCTGGGAAGGTGACCTTGAGGTCCTGGGATTATATTAACTACGTACAAACATTAACATGAATAATTTCCAAGTGAAGGTCAAGACTAATTAGATACTGGGATTGAGGCATTGGGCCAGCTGTACATATTGGGCCCAATACTCCTGTCAACTATTGGGCCTCTTCATGTGTATTCCATTCAACTCAACACCCTTACTTAAGTTTGAGGGTGTTGACACCCCAAGCTTGCCAAGAAAATGATGATGAGTGGTGTGTGAAAGAGACTTAGTTAAAATGTCAGCAAGTTGAGTAGAAGAGGAAACATGATGTAAAGTAATGAAACCAGATTATAAGCTATCCCGAACATAGCGGCAATCAACTTCAATGTGTTTAGTACGCCCATGAAAAACTAGGTTCTTGGCTACATGCAAGGTAGCTTGGCTATCATAATACAGAGGAACAGGGCTGAAAATAACCAACTCAAGATCAGCCAGTAGTTGAACAAGCCATGAGATCTCAGCAACTACTTTCCATAGAGCTCTATACTTTGCCTTAGCAGATGAGAGAGATATGGTAGGTTGTTTCTTGTTCTTCCAAGAGATGGGACAACCCCCTAATGTTATGTAATACCTAGTAACAAACCTTCGAGTGTGGGCATAAGTAGCCCGGTCAGAATCAGAGTAAGTTAAAAGAGAAAGATCAGTAGACTTAGGAAGGAAAATAGCTAAATCGGGAGCATTCATCAGATACCTCAAGAAATATATAACAGCCAACATGTGAGAAACTTGAGGAGCTTGAAGAAACTGACTAAGGTGTTGGACTGAGTATGCAATATCAGGTCTTGTATGCCATAAGAAATTGAGCTTGCCCATAATTCTTCTGTAGATTCTAGGATCAAAGAGAGACTCCCTCATATCAGAAGTTAGTTTGAAAGAATGATCAAGATGAGTGTTGACAGGAGTGAAATGATCACAGTGAAACTCTTCCAATAGATCAGATGTAAATTTGTGTTGACGAATCAAGAACCCTTAGGGCTGTGAGATAACTTCCAAGCCCAAAATATAGTGAACACATCCTAAGTCTTTGATTATGAACGTATCAACCAGAAAAGCCTTAAGACTATCCAATTCATAATTATCATCTCCTGCCAACAATATATCATCTACATATACTGCTAAGACAGTGAGTGAACCACCAGAAGACTTTGTGAAGAATGAATAATTATTTTTATTTGAAATATAACCTTTGGAGCACAAGGCTTCAGACAGTTTAGAGAACCACTGTCTTGAGGCCTGTTTGAGACCATAGAGGTACTTCTTGAGCTTGCAAACTAATGGATGAGTATAGGAAGAAGAACCAAAAACCACTAAACCCGGGGGTAGTCTCATGTAAACTTTTTCATGGAGATCACCATGAAGAAAAGTATTGTTGACATCTAGTTGATAAACAGTCCACCCTTTTTTGGCAGCAAGAGAAAGAAGTCACTTTATGGTGGTAAGTTTAACAACTGGGGAGAAGGTCTCATTATAATCTATCCCCTCCTTTTGAGTGTCACTCCTTATGACTAATCTGGCTTTGTATCTTTCAACAGTGCCATCAGATTTATGTTTAATCTTGTACACCCACTTACAAGGAATAAGTTTCTTCTGAGAGAGGAGAGGAACAATATCCCAAGTGTGGTTAGCTTCAAGAGCTTGGAACTCTTTTAGCATGGCTTCTTGGCAAGAAGAAACCCGCTAATAATATTGTGGTTCATGCGGTTATAGCTCAATAGTGAAAATCTTGGAATTTATAGAGATAGGGTTGACAGGAATAACAGATGAACATATATAATGTGACAAGTAGGAAGGAGGATTGTAGACCCTGGTAGTGTGCCTAACATGCAAGATGTTAGGAGGTGGAACATGACTAGTGATAGAAGGAGAGGCAGAAGAAGGAACATGCATAGCAGGTGGTTTTTGATGGTGGGAGGAAGAAGGAGAAGAAACAGGATGATATTCAGAGAAAGAGGCATGAGGTACAATAGAAGGAGCAGTAAGAGGAGTTGGCGAAGGAGCAATGAAGGATTGAAATGAAGAGGGATCTTCAAAAGAAGCAGACGATGAAGGAAAAACAAAAGAAGATGAAGCAGAAGAATAAGGAAAGATATGCTCATGAAAAACTACATCTCTGGAAAAACAAATACAGAATAATTATAGAGATTAAGCAACTTATAGCCCTTTTTTTCTAAAGGGATAACCTAGAAAAACACAGGAAACAACCCTGGGCTGGAATTTGTCTCTTCTAGATTTAGGGATAGTTGTGAAACAAAGACAACCAAATAATTTTAGGTGGTCATAAGTAGGAGGAGTCCCATGTAGGTTTTCAAAAGGAGTAGTGTTACCCAAAACAGATGAAGGTAATCTATCGATAATGTAAGTTGCAGTTAACACACATTCACCTGAATATTTAATAGGAAGTTTGGATTGAAACAAAATGGCTCTGGAGGTTTCCAAAAGATGTTTGTGTTTCCTTTCAATCACACCATTTTGTTGTGGGGCGTGAGATATAGTGGTTTTGTGTAAAATACCATTGTCAGCATAGAAAGATATAGCTTCTGAATTACTGCCTAATTCAAAGGCAATGTCTTATCTAAAGGATTGGGCATATGATTTAAAATGCACTTTGACCATCATAGTAAAAACTTTGATTACAGAAAGAGCATTACCTTTGGAAGATAATAAATGTGTCCAGGTGATTCTAGTAAAATCATCTACTAGAGTGATGGAGTATATAAAGCCATTATATGTATTAGTGAGGTATGGTCCCCATATATCTATATACACTAACTAGAAAGGTACAATTGAATGAATATGATCAGAGAAAGGTAGTCTTTGTTGTCTAGCCATAGGACAAATAGAACATACAAATGATTGCTTAGAAGACACTTGAGTTGATAAACATGGAATAGATTTCATCTTCTGAAATGGCATTTGGCCTAACCTCTGATGCCAAAAGAGGTCCATCTTATTGATAGTACTAGATTAATTACAAGTGGAACTGGGAAAACATGGGATAACAGTATCTGTAAATGAATTACAAGCAGTAGGACAAGACATATTAGAAGAAAATGAAGGAGAAACCATATCAGGTAGTAGAACGAAGAGCCCATGAGCAGCTTTACCAATTTCCAGTGGCCTCTTCAGGAAAGGGCCCTATAGAAAATATAAGAAGCGGATAAAAATTGCTAGACTTTTCAGTTGACAAAGAAGTTGATGTACTGAAATTAAATTGAACTGAAAAGAAGGAACCAAAAGAATATTGTGTAAAGTTATATCCTGACTAAGATGCAGAGATCCAATAGAAATAACTTTCACTTTATATCCATTTGGTAAAGTGATTAAGTAAGGAGAAGGCAAAGGTTTAAGATGGTGTAAAAACTATTTGTGTGGGGTCATGTGATTGGTGGCACCTGAATCTAAAATCCAAGGAATTCTTCCTAACTGAGCAGACAAAGAATGCATAATAGAATTTATTATAGGAAACTGACATACAGGGAGATTTCACACACATGCAAAGTTGGAAAACCCAATATTTTCTCTGGGGGAAGTGGATTGAGGATAACCAGAAGAAAGATTTGCTTGTTGGAAAAGAGTCATGAAATGTTCATATTGCTCCTTGCTAAATCCATAAGCAGAGTTTGAAGAACTGTTGCTAGTTCCAATAGCAATCAAGTTTCTTGGTGAATAATCCCTCACTTGAACACATGCAACAGACCTCTTGGACTTAGTGGACTTGAAATCAACCGCAAACCCATGAAGTCTGTAGCATATGTCTACACTATGCCCAGGCTTCTTGCAGTATTTGCAAGTCACATAAGAAGTAGACCTTTTAGAGTCAAAATTTACCTCTGATGATATGGTCTATTGATGGAAGAAGAGGTGCCAGATAAATCAGAGAATGAGGCTACAGAATCAGCTGAAAACCGAGGAGCTATGGACTTAGATTTTCATCTTGTTGTAGAAGTGAATAAGCTTTGCTGATGGTTGGATAAGGGGACATCATTAAACTATTATTTTTAACTGTGAAATAGGACTCATTTAACCCACTGAGAAACTGAAATAGGTGTTGGTCCTCAATGAATTTGGGAAGTGCACCACATGAACATGTTGGACCAACATAGGCAGAATTGAGTTCATCCTAGAGACTCCTCATTCTGGTGAAGTAGCTAGCTATATCAGATGTCCCCTGACAAGTACCACTAATTTTCCTCTGAAATTGGATATACTTGAAACCATTTAACTGACCATACCTATCATTTTATTTCTTTCCAGACTTCCTTAGCAATGCTGAAATACATAAAACTCACAGTAATTTCTCTAGTAAAGGAGTTAGTAATCCAAGCCTTGACCATGTTATTGCAACGCTCCCAAAAGAGATAATATGGAGAATCAGGTTTAGGTTGAGGTATCCTACTAGTTATCAATCCTAATTTGTTTTTAGCCGAGAGAGAAGTCAACATACTGTTACGTCATACAACAAAACCAGTTCCACTAAAGGAATAATGACTAATTGATTACGAGGACTATCGGATGGGTGAATATAGAACGGGTAAGATGGATCTAGAGTAAATTCACTAAATCCTTCAGAGTTAGTCATGGTACCATAAGGTTCCTCAGTTAAATTTGTGTTAATACTCATTGTGGACAACAAATTCAGCAGCAAAATATAACAATAAAAGCAGTAGAATTGTGAAGATACAGTAGATGCAACCCAAACTAATATTGGTTCCAGTACTAAAACAAACCCTAGAAATCAGCCCAAATCGAACATCCAATGAGGAAAGTGAGAAGATTTACCAATCGTCTTTAAAAATCGAGAGGATAGAGAGTATCGAACGTCGGATTCAAAAGTTTTGAAAGCAAAAACCTAATTTTTCATTGTTGGAGAATCACCACACCGAGAAAATCTCCAAAAGTCCGTCCAAGGATGTAACAATAGCTGTGGTTGAGATCGTTCCGATTATCCCGCTCTGATATCATGTTAGAGTGATTATTTATAAAAATTGAGGAAATGAAGGGAGAAAGAAAACCCTAGATCGGGTGAGATGAGAGAGAGAAAAAGAAGAATATTTCTATTTCATTGTACATGTAAAAATGATTTGTACAAGGTGATATATTTCCCGTGCTATCTTTAATGGGCCTAATACACTAATACAAAATGCAAATGCAAGTAAATGGACCAGTTGTACATATTGGACCCAGTAATACTATCAACCATTGGGCCTCTTCAGGTGTTCTCCATTCAACTCAATACTCTATGACAATCATGTCAAGTATGTAAAATCCGTCATTAATTCCTTTTATGGATTGCAACTGAACTATGGATTTGTTTGGATGTTTCTACTTAATTAGAAGTAATAGAGTTTGAGATGATTCAGAGCAAGTTCAACTATATATTCTATTTGTTATCGATATATTATCATGATCTATGTATTTATATACTAATTGTATATGTGAATGTAACAATATCGAAATTCCTCACTATATTAATAAGAATTGGAACACAGATTACAACCTTGAGATATCAATTGCAATACTCAAACTAATGAAATACAATAGAAACTAATGAAATAACTGTATTGGTGAAAAAATGCGTGACATGTGGATCAACAACATGATGACATGTGGCACTTATATTAGGTCAATAAAGGTAGATAGAATGGCAAGGATAAAATACCCATGGTATTCTATCAGAGAAGGTACCGAATCTGACAACTGAAAAAGAGAAAATAGGCACAAGATGCATAAAGACCATAAAAGGGAAAGATTCATGAATCAGTTGTAAATATAGAAAGAGAATCAACATTAGCTCGCATTATGCGCGATCCTCTATTATTATCATAACCGTTACAATTAAATTTAGTAACGAGTAA